AGAGAGAGAGAGGGGGGGGGAGAGGGAGAGAGAGAGAGAGAATTTTATCTCACACACACACATTATCATTATTGTCAATTGTCAGAAATAATCTCTCATGTTCACTTTCAGTCACAACAATATCTAGAAACAATTGCGAGTTTTTTTAAATTTTTTTTTATATGGAAACTGTCGTGATCACGTCTGATGTGATCATAATAACTGTTGTCTCCACTACTTTGGGACCTGGATTTTCTTCTATATTTCGCAGGGACTGTTTCATTGTAAGCTAAAGAGACCCGTAATCATGCCACAGACTTGCCTTACTTAAATTTTTAAAAAACAAAGAAATCGCTGTAGTCCTACTTTACTATACTTTTTCCTTCCTCTGGTATCCTTAGGGGGGTCGAGGAGAGGTGCAGATGTCGGTCCTGTGCTAGGTGAGTAGCCTCTGTGATAGATATGGCATATTTGTTTCAGTTTTCTGGGACATTCTGGTTAGATGGCCATAGGCCTTCTATCCCTCAATTTGTACTTCAGAATTAGGCCGAAAATATGAAAATATTAAGCCCGGTTTCAAGACAATAAACTGAGGAACAAAATGCAGCGTGCCGTTGCTACTATTAATTACTAATAAAACGAGTACGTATAGACTTATTATACCAAGTGCCCAGCTTGCAGACGTAGTCTGAAGACAGCCGGGTTTGATTGTCGTATGCAGCTTTCTGTCCGTCAGGACGGCCGATCCTAGACAGGAAATGAGTCATCGTATCGTTCCCGCAGAGATAGGAAAAAAAAACCCCTGTGGGTACGATGACTTTTTTGTTTTGTCATAATTAACAAGTCTGGTGAGCACGTGTGTATCACCATCTTTTTCTCAAATACAACAACTGAAAGCATGCCAGTTTGTCACAGGCCCAGTTTGTCATAGGCCCAGTTTGCCACAGGCCTCGACTGTGTCCTGCGTGATGGAAGTATAACTGACACTCTCAAAAAGAGTAAATTAATGATTGATTGATTGCATGAATTGGATTTTATTTTTCAATTGCTTTTAACGAAAGAACATTCATTGTTGAAATTTTACAGAGTAATTACAATTTTCTTTGATTTGCATACAAAAAAAGAAGAAATATTGTACAACACAAGCTGACTTGACATTTTAGAGGGACTATCTCTACCACTAATTTGAAGGTGGAAAATAAAGAACATAAAGTTACAACTACAGTGTTAAAGTGCCGTAATTATGACTGTCATCAATACTCAAATACTTAAGAAATTGTGACAAACTGGGCCTGTGACAAACTGGGCAGCACCCCAACCATTGTATCAAATGAGGGCAATCCTCGAAGGCGATGGAATGGCGGTGCTGTAGGCATATAAGTTATGCTTTTGCATTCTTCAACCGTTTTCCGTTTGCAGACACCAGGCCAATGATCAGGCGGACGGATGACGGAGCAAGTATATTTTCGGCTTTAGACTGCAGAAGCAAACAAATAAAATAAGATACATCTTTACTATTGTCCAGATCCTGGCATATTGCTTTGGTGTTTCACCATGTTCCCACATGCACGCACGCGCGTGCACGCACATGCACGCACGCGCGCGCGCACACACACACACACACACACACACACACACACACACACACACACACACCTGTCCCAGCCCCAGCCCCAGCCCCACCCCCACACAAAAACATGCTCACACAGGCAGTATGCTTGCACTCACAAACAGGCTCACAGTCACATGCATAAATATAAATGAATAGAACAATGATAATGTTCAGCTAAATATAGACTCAGTGTTCTGATTGTAACTCCGATATACTGATGCAAACTCTAAGGTTATATGAATAAAAGTACTTTTAACAAGATATAGTAACTAAGATAGAAGAAGTTTGATGGATGATGATAAGAATAATCTTCTGTATCTTTCTTTGTTGCAGATCAGAAGCCTAGGTCTTTTACTTTTGACTGATGTTTTTATTTGAGGGAACAAAGGATGTTTATTGTCCAAAAAGATGGAATTAATTTTGTGTGTGTGCAAACTGTAACGTATGATTCATCCAAGTAGGTGAATGTAAATGTTGACATTTTTCATGCTTTCCGTATTAATCGGCTCAATTAAAAAAAATCTTGGTGCCTTGAGTTCCCGGCCCATGCTGTTATACAGAAATTGACCATGCCTTCTATGGTTGAATGATAGAATATGGACATCACTGATTTATCAACTTTAAAGTCTTTTGTTCACTTTTTTTAAAATGCAGGAAGAAGTGTGGACATGCCAGTGGAGTTTGTTGTCTATTGTAACACCCAAATACTTATAATATGACATTTACTCGACGTTTTCATTTTTAATTTCGAGTGGTTGCAGGGGCAGTTTTGTTTTCGTAAGTCAACAGCAAGTTCTTTGATGTTTTTTTTTTATATCTAAAAGCAGCTTATGAATATTACACCACTCAGAAAAGTATTATATGTAGGCTACAGTGATGCACGAGCAGATTTTGGGTTCAGGCTAAACAGTCTTTTCGATACCATTTCGTAGAGCAAACGGAAAGGTAAGGAGTATCTTATGTCACACATTTTGAATGTCAAAATTATTCAACTCTGAAAGAGATATGGATTATTAGGTCGTCAAATTTCGACCATCTCGGCTTTCGTTTCGGTCTATTTGAAGGAAGGCAACTCTCGGAAAGGACAGAGAAAGCTGGTAGCCCAGGCGTACCAACGAAATGTACGGAATAATAATACATTAAATGCGCATGCGCATGTAATGTTTTCCCACATGTTCAGTGCTCAGTATTGTCAAACACTGTTATGGCTCCCGTGAGCGGTACGCATTCACTAGTAAGACTAAAAAATTAAAAGTTCTTTGTTTATCCCTTTCCGTATCGCTGCATTTGGATCACTCGTCCGGAGTGTCTGGCTCCAGTCACAGCCCAGGTTTGTATTGATATCAATATATGTAGGCGTTTTAGCTCCAGACTTCTATATCGTATCTTGCGTCGGTCCGGTGGTGGAGACTAGACTAGCCTAGCGTCACTCAGCGCTCTCTAGCAGCACAACAGGCTAACCTAACACGAGTGGTTAGCTGCCGATGCCGTCTCTGAAAATCTAAGATAGAGCTTGTTCATTCATTAAAGGTGAATCATTAAATTACATGGCAGTGTATGGATCTAGATCTAGAATCTAGATCTAGATCTAGATCTAGTAGATCTTTGTGTAGGAATAGATTCTGGGTTTCCACTGTCACAATGCAAAATGACCCCCCCCCCCCACATTGTTCTGTTTCATTTTCGTGTCATTATTCAGACCCAGAGGGTTTGATTTCAATAAAGTCAGATTATTATTTAGATCCCCCTTCTTTCCGGCTCTCATATTTTTAGACCCTCACTGTCCGGGTTCCGATTGGAGCCCAACTCAGTCCGGCCCCTCTAGCTCAGCGCACGCGTGTCGAGCATCATCCGTGTGATGACCATGTGTGTGTGTCACTCCACTTGGCTTGAGTTTGTTGCGTGCGTTTGTGGCCTAGATCTACTTGTAGAACCGCTTGTGTTGGTTCATATCTGAGGCGTACATCTCATTCAAAACACGCCAAATTGGTAGCTGCTCTCTAGATCTTGATGTTCGTCCAATTAAATTATAACAAATTGACCCACTTAAGACCTGAGGAGCTCAGTGAAAAGATTCTCATGTCTCGGCACAGACACAGAACAGGAGTCTCAGTGAGTCTGTGGGTGTTCTTTTTTTTTTTTTAAGTTTGTTTCGTTTGCTGACAAAAATTTGACTCCATACTAGAATCTACATGGCATTTCGTAGCCTGCAAACTAGAATCTAGATCTACATTAAGGCTTAAGGGCGCCATGAACATATTTCTTGACAACTGTTGATTTGCGACAGTTTTTTAAGGGAGTGTTCCTCAGCATAAAATACAAAATCTGAGCGTAAGATGGGATTGAAAGTAAGATAATACTGCGGTTTCATGGGAACATGCCCACCTGTATTTTCTCATAAAATCAATTGATGTTTTGTCATTAGTGTTGAGGTTTTCGTGAAGGGAGTGTGTATACAGACCCGGTAACCGGGAACAAAGTCACAAAATATACAGACCCGGTAGGGGAACTCTTTTGTGATTTTGGAAAGTTTCAGCGCCCTCTTGGCTCAGGGTAGACCATAGATGTACACTACCTAGGCTTTTCTAGATCTATGGCCTAGGTCTAGATCTAGACAGACAGACATAAATCATTGATCTAGTTTCGAGGCTAGCCTAGATCTAGATCTAAATGAAGATTGCAGATGTCTTTTCGAAGAACGATCGTTTTTCTTCCGTTTTGGAGTTGGAGGAATCACGATATGAAGAAAAGAACAATGTCATTATTTCAATCCAGCAGTCACCCTCGCTATTTCTCTGCCACCCCCCTCCCCCCCCTTCTCTCTCTCTCTCTCTTTCTCTCTCTCTCTCTCTCTCTCTCTTTCTCTCTCTCTCTCTCTCTCTCTCTTTCTCTCTCTCTCACACACACACACACACACACACACACACACACACACACACACTACCGGGTCTGGGCGCTGAAACTTTCCGAAATCATAAAAGAGTTCCCCTACCGGGTCTGTATACTTCGTGACTTTGTTCCCGGTTACCGGGTCTGTATACACTTCGTTTCGTGAAAACTAGTGATTTGTGACACTTTTACTTAGTGACCATGCCATGTGTTTGGCAGCTACAAATATGATAATGTCTACCCAACTTAATGAATGTGACTTAACCCATACCAAAAATTGGAAATTTAGCTTTGGAATTAGCTCTAAACTTGCTTTTAAGAATAGTGTTATTTCCATGTCATGAGAAGAGTGTCCAGTATTTAACATCATTTGGTATTTGTTATTGTTGTAATTTTTGTGTTTGTTTCTTCGAATCAGTGGAAGGACTACTGTAACAGGTGACCACCCCAACAAACACAATAAAGAAGAGACTTAACCCTACCCCTAACCCTAACCCTGGAAGGACTACTGTAACAGGTGACCACCCCAACAAACACAATAAAGAAGAGACTTAACCCTACCCCTAACCCTAACCCTGGAAGGACTACTGTAACAGGTGACCACCCCAACAAACACAAGAAAGAAAAGACTTAACCCTACCCCTAACCCTAACCCTACCCCAAACCTAAACCCTAAACCTAACCCTTCCCCATCCCCAAACCCTACCCCATTCCCTGTCCCCTACCCCTCTGTTCTACTCTGTCTCCTAGTGATTGCTCGTTACGGAAGTGCTCCCGAGACAGTAGTTTCAAAGGACAACAAAGTCTCGTTACAACACAGTTGTCTTGTGTTTTTGTCCCAATACTTGAGACGACAGCTTTTTGGGTGTGACGATTGGGCGATTCACTGTTCCATGCAATGGACCTGAGTTTGATTTCCGAGTGGAGCGAAATTTTTTATCGCGTACCTCTGTCTTTCTGCCGCGATATTGCATCCCTCTCATCCTGGGTTGCCCTGACAGGCAGGGTCAGAAACTCGCCTCCTAAATGATTTAGATTGTATCGATGGCGGCGAAAAGACGCTCACATTTAACTCATTCCAGTCGCACCCAAATCTGGCTGAAAGCACCCCGTGCCGCACTATTTTGACCATATTTCCACTGACTGTAGGAACAAAATATCTTTCAAAACCCACAAAACCCATACATTTTTGTGATTGTGCTTATATCCCCTCTCAGAATATCAGGTTGATTTTTGTGTGAGACGATACAAACAAATATTACAGCTCATGAAATAACCCCTTTTGAGGGTAAAAAAATTTTTTTTTTCTCTCAAAATATTGTTGAACAGGGTGCTCCCATGACTAAAAATCATGATAACCAATAATAAAAACTTGTTGGAAATAAGTCTTTCTGCTGCAATCTTCTTTTATCTTTCCATAAATAACATTCAGTGAACTCATAATGAGTATATGTTGACATATATGTCCCCTCTCTCCATCAAGCTTGAAAAGTTTCCGAGACTTCCCTCAAATCTTGGAGCAATTATCATGTCACTGAATGTTATTATTAGAAACATGTAAGAAAATTGTTTTCTGAGTAACAGTAACATACAAACACATGGTAAGAAACTAACATAATGCTTACTGGAACTTAGAACACAAAGATTACACCATCTTTGAACTCTTAGAGGGCAGCGATGACTGCTGCATTACTGTATGCGGCACGTCCGGATCGTTATCTTACTCTGCCTCATACATGTATGCGGCACAACTGGAATGAGTTAACGAACAAATGTGAGGCAGCATGGTGAAATCAGGCGCTCGTCAAAATAATGAAAATGAAGAAACTGACGTGTTTTTTTTTGGCAGGTTTGGGAATTTGTATAAAATTTTTGTTTTTTGGCTCAACACATTTCATGCCCATTAAAGAACTCATTTCTGTGTCGATTTTACTGAAACACGTTGATTATAGGCATAAAAGATCTAAATTATTAGTATCCACGGACTCTCAAGCTAAGGAAAATCTCAACATTGGCTTCCATTTTCTCGTTAATTTTACCTGTGAAACCAGGTGATCCCCACCTCCTTTAATCACAAATATCTCGATATGTATGCAAGTTAATGGAATATTTTTAAAATCGAAAGCAAAGCAAATGAAAAGGCTCTAAGATGATACCAATAGATCCATATCCTCAAACATTGACGATCGCCTGATTTGACCATGTCGTGACCCAAATGTGTTTGAATTGTCCAGGAGTGACGTGTCATGTCAGAGGAGAGCAACACGACAAAGATGGAGTCTGGCGAAACAAAACCTTTGATATCTGGAGCAGCTTCGAACACAACAACGAGCACGTCGCAGAGCACTGGCGGTTCTGGCGGGGGCAGCAGCAAGTCAAGCTCTCAGTCAATTGTGAGTGGCAGCACGCTTTGCTCATGCCTTGGTTCACGGCTTAGAATAAGATAAGATAAGATTATACTTTATTATCCCAGAGGGAAATTTTTCTTGGCGGTACAGGACCGTAAAAACACGTGCAGGTGTACATAAAATTTTTAATTATATACTATTACTCAAAATTCTATAGGAAAAGAGAAGTAAAACTGACAAAATGTACTTTATATCAGTTTTATCACATCAGATGCGTCATTCAATCACATGCAGGATAGTTACTGATTTGTAAAGATATTTTGAAAAATGCAGTAAAACCTCGGTTTTGATAATAATTACAATAATGCCCAAGGCTGAAATTGTACTATAGGCAGTAACAATCACTTTCTGAAGCCTCAAGTCTCATTTTGTAGTTACTTTTTGCTATTTTTAGACAATACATTATACCTGGGCTCAGAATAAAGATGCTTAAAAAATGTTGGGTCCAGAGGGAGTTTGTTTGAAGGAGGTTTTGCTTTCCTTGATTGTGTGCACACATGAGTCTGTCTGTCTGTCTCTCTCTCTCTCTCTCTCTCTCTCTCTCTC